TATATATATATATATATATATTTTATATATATATATATATATATATAGTATGTATATATATAAGTGTATATATATATATATATATATACTTAATTACTTTTATTTCTTAATTGTTATTTACTTGTAAAATTCCTGACTCATGGCAGGCCAGCACTGGCAATGTGCTTCCAAGGAGGCCTGGGCTGTGAAGCAGGTTGTCTGGTACAGTAGACAGGATGTTTTGCTGGCTTTGAGAAGGTATTTGTGTGCTGAGGAATGGTCCTGAAACCTTTTCAAAATATTTTAACTGAAACAATGGAAAAGCATTAAGATTTTAACAATTATTGTTTTATTTTTAACAAGTCCAGAGACAGCAGTATTGCCAAAGAACTTTCACTGGGATTGCACAATGTACAAATTGGATCAATATTTTGTCCAAGTTGTATTTTTGGCAATACTTCATGTGCTAAACACTAAGTTTTCAGTCATGTACAGCTAATTTAATCTGTCGGATGAGAGTGCACTTAAATTTTGCAATCTTCAATCTGGAACAAGGTATTCTTAATGTTACACTGTGCTTGTGTTTGTCTAGAACCACGAATGTCTGTAGGCTGCAACATATTTAACATATTGATTCAAAAAAACGAATGTAAGAGATCTTTTCTCTCATTCAATAACCTTCTGAATTCCTTCAGCTGGCAGTGTGTTGCCCTCAGGAGATACAGGAGAAGATCTTAAGGACAACAGCAATAGCCTAAATGGTGGTGGATAAAATACTGGCATAGTAGGAATTCATTGTTGGCACTTCAAGAGTACTTGGTTGTTGTGTCCGACAGACAGAATATTTCCAGGTTCTTGTCATTCTGGCTTTCACAGCAGAGTTCTAAACCGATTTTAACGCAGAAGAGTTAAGAAGCACTGGAGTAGAGGAAGGTTATCCTGCAAAAATTGCAGTCTTACTTTTTTTTTTTTTTTTAAATTTAAAACATCTGAAGATGCTTTTATATTGAAGAATGGAAAACATCTGTGATACTTACATATACAAAGCTCATCTTTTTGGAGTTCATTCCAGTTTCTCTGAAACAAAGCTCTTAGTAGTGCTTGAAATAGCTCAAAAATAGCTGTTTTTGAGTAGTTTGAAAGTCCAATATAGTCAAATGTAAACTAAGAGCTACAGAGAACACTTGCTGTAAGTTTCTTACTCCTCTGCAGTGGATTTCTTAATGCTGTGCATGCAAACTAATCATGCAGTTTTGGAGTTTTGTGCACGAGATTGCTTTCTTACCTCCCTTGTGGTACGTCTGCGGTAAATCCGATTGCCCTGCGGCACGCTGTTACTCTTTGACGGGAGAGCAGACTGACTGAGACTTTTTACTGATCCCTGATTCAGGCCCCAGGTGCGGTGACCAGCTGGGACACCTGCTGGAGGTGGCAGGGAGCTGCCTGGGAATCCACAAAACTTATTAACCTGTGCTAATTTGTTTGTCAGGTTTAAGTGAGGGTGTAACACAGCACCCTTAAATTACACAGAAGACTGAGTGAGACCTGCTAGATAACCTGTGAAGAGACTTAAACGTTTTCTCAGCAATGTGCTCTGTGTAATGTGTAGAAGAGAGCTGAAGTATAGTTTCATTTCCCTGTTTAGGACTGGATCAGAAATCTCTTAGCATTTTGTTGTCTCTTCTTGACGAAGAAGTGGCTGGGCTTTGTTCTGTGCCCTGTCAGGCATCTGCTGTTCTATGCTTTTTCCTAAGCCACTTCCCTAAAGGTGAAGTTGGTGATGAAGTGGTGATGTTAGTGCCTTTCAGCCTGGGCCTTCCAGAAGCTGTTTAGAAGTCAGAGGTAGTGTTGCCTTCCCTAACGGAAATAGCCAAGTGTAAAGCTGTTTCTACAAATACAGGGTTAGGTGTCAGCTTTTGCACTTGGCTAGCTGCCTTTCTTCCCTTCAGTGGCAGACAATCATGGTCTATATGAACTCTCACATTTCAGAAATGTGCACATCTAAATAGGAGCAGTTTATGTTGTCTCTTGATGGTGACATACAGTAACTACGCTGCTTGTGTGCATACTGTGATTATCTGATAAACACTTGATTTTTAATTGGTATATTTAGGCTTTTTGTCCTGAAAATTTTCAGAAACGTCAGAATGCTAAACAATTATTCTGCTCTAATATACGCTGTTTCTAGTTTCAGGATGTGCTTGCTTACAGGTTGAACTTGAGTTGAAGGACAGGGAGTTACTGCCTGATGCTGAGATCAACTTGATGTTGAAACAGTGGGGCTTCTGCTAATTGTCAAAACCTACTGACAGAAACAAATGATGTCTGTTATGCCTTGATAGCAATCTTGAAATGGCATGGGAATGTTTGTTTTTTTTCCTGTGTCACTGTGGCAAACATGGAAAAATACTGAAATGTTTGTTGTTTTTTCTTCCAGACTATCATTTTATTCTGGCCATTCTTCGTTCTCCATGTACTGCATGCTATTCCTAGCAGTAAGTATGTTTTTTCCATGTATTTAATAGTGGGGAAAAAAATAACCCAACCCAACTCTTATTTACCTGATGCAAAACTCTGCAATAAGAAATGTTTGATTTGATTAGGCTTTGCATGTTTCATTAAAGAAATAAATTAATACAAAGCCCTAGACTTAAGCTTAATCAAATATGAATGAGTCCATAAGTTCTAAACAGGAGACCAACTTCATTTTCTAATTCTTCCTACTTTTACATACCTCTCCACCCCAACAGGAGAAGAGTTAAAGGGCATGGGAAGTAAGGGGAGAAGTTTAGCTGCAGAAATAAAAATAAGACTACAATTTTTTTGATAGTTTCCAATGTATGAGGATTTGAAGGGCTTCTTCCTTGAGCGTTGATTTTCAATTTCAAGCCTAAAGCCTCATACGCTTCAGTTCAAGTTAGCTTGAGTCAAAAAAACTCCTCCTAGAATAAGCTTTGTAACACTAAAAATTGGATACTTATATACAATATACTATAATGTTTCTCATCTGTTCAGCTGTGTTTAAAAAAAAAAAAAAAAAAAAAAACAACAACCACTGTTTTTTTCCTTGTTCACTGTCTCTTCTAGTCTCCAAAATCATACAGGTCTACTTGTGATGCAGTTCCAAAAAACGGAATACATGGATCAAAACCACCATTTCCATGATATGATGAAGCTATTACTGTTATGTAGCAACCTTATACTGACTTGTCCTGCTGCGTTCAATTGTCCCTTAACCTCTTCTTACATGGTTTCATGATGCCTGTGAGAATATGACGTTGCAACCCTTCAGAAGCACAAACTTAGACCAGAGAAAGTTTACGATGTGTATGATAAGAATGAGTCTGGTTTATAATAATCTGTACTGATTGGATGAAAGTCATTGGTCATAGATCTCAGTCTGTCTGAACTTTTATCTCTGCTACTTGTATGAATGAGTCCAGCTTGACATGTCTTGTGGGGAAGGTGGTCGTGAGCAGGACTTTTCAGCCAGTATGGACTCAGAGGAAGGTTGCTGTTTTGAAATCTTGCCTCATAATGAAAACTCCCCCTACCTGTGCTCAATCTTCCTATGCCCTAGTTATTTGCCTTAACACTGAGACAACATCTAAATAGCATGAGTGCTGTGTAATGATATTTATGCTTGGACTTCCAGGCTCTGTTTAATTTGCTAGGATTTTAGAAAAAATGCAATCTTTGGCAAAAAGAGCAAGATTTTTATTTGCTATTCTTCTTTTGAATATGCGAGTTTCTTCACATGGTTTGAATAACCCTGTCTGTAGTAGCCTGTACATGTGCTTGGTGGTTTCTTTTCTAAATTCATGCTTGTGTGCAGAGTTGCTGAACTCATGACCTGAGATGCAGTCAGCTATGGAGTTTTGTGTGCTTATCTGCATGCTTCACACTTAGCAACCTTCTGCATGGGGAAGGAGGTAGACAATATGAGTCAGATCCTTCTGTGTCCCATTTTAAAATGCTGTAAATCCAGAGCTTGTATCAGTCCCTTAACCTGCAGGTGTACAGATATCCTTAACTCTCATAACAAGGCATTTGTGAAGCAGTGATGTATTGCACATAAATTCATATATCATTCAGGTGTGGCAGAAAAATGTTCAGAACAGAATTACAAATGTTAGAGAAAGGAAAGCAGTCTTGAAATTGGAAGCACACAAGAAGGAACATAATTTCAAAGTGTGCTCAAAGGCCTGCATTGGACCTGTTTGGTCACACATTCAGCCTCATGGTGGCTGCTGCTGCAGTTTTGGCTCTTGGGAGATGGTGCAAGAAACTGCTGTTGTAACCCCCAGTGTTAGGATATTGTGCTCAGAAAGTGAAATATTGTCAGTCATTGAAGGAATTTATCTTCTCACATGTTTCCTACTAAACTATACCCTGAGTTTACACAGTCCAATTTTGATAAGACTTTTTTTTTTTTTTTATAGCAGTCTGACCCTGCCTGGGGGAGGAGGTGTTCTTTTTCTTTTCCTGCACCTCTGTTTCTTGTTTAACTTCTCTGGCTGAGCAGTACAAAGAGTAGGAGACTTTGAGATTAGAGTTGTTTTTTCATAGGAACGTCTGAAGAGGGCTAACAACTTCTGTGCAGGTGTAGGTGTGTTTTTCTGCTAATTAATATGGTATCGCTGCATACCAACCTTTGCATTGACTGTGGTCTTGGTAGTTTTTTTAAAAAGCAAACCACAAAACAAAAGTATTTAAGCAGGCAGCTACTACAGGAAGATGAGGCAAATGCTTTCTCACCCTCCTCCTTGCCCACGTGGCAAGGCAGAGTGCTGCTCCTGGCTCTAAACCAGGCCTGCAGCATTTGATAACCTGTTTGTTAACTGAACTCTGATGCTGGCTTCATCTGCTCTTTGCACACTTACTCTAGCTGCAGTCTGAGTCATGAGCAGGACAAAATTGTGAACATGTGGCATTACTCATAGCAGCGTTAATCATAACCAGATGCTGGTTTCCTAAGGACTAGAGGAATCTGCCTTGTGTGTACTGCAGAACGTGTTCTTTTAACTGTTCTGAATTCATGAACACTGGCAGGTTGTGCATGAAGGAGCGGTACTGGGAGAAGTCAAATGGGAAATGATCGCCGCCACAGATAGCACAGGCATTGCTACTGTAAAATGAGGATGTGCTTAAAATGTGTGGCTTAAATCAAGATAAATTGCAGAATATTAGATAAGTAATGGAATGCCTCTTCAGCTCAGTTACCTGAGACAGAATTGCTGTGTAAGAAGCAAGTTATATGGTAGCTGCACATTCTGTTATGTACAGGAGCACCTGGTGGATTTAAAAAACTAGTAAGAGGTGATATATCACTTCCAGTAACTTTAGATGCTTTGACTTCTAAGCAGCTACAGTAATGTCCATGGAGTAACAATGTACGTAGAGTAATAATCCTTCAGGGTCTTACTACTTAGCAGGATGTTCTGATGCTCTGAATGAAGATTGAACTAAGGCAGAAGTTTCTCTAGTAGCAATGTAAGAAGGACATAAAAGTTAGGAGCTGGTCATGCCTTCGTATTGAGCATTTATGCTGTGCTATCTGCTTTACATTGTTTATCTCCATGAGGAGCAGAAGCATGCTGGTTCTAATCCTAAGGGGCAAAAACATTTTTTTAGTATTGGCAAAAATCAAAGTACTGCAGCCTGGTTTGAATTTTTCTCACTTAGCACATCTTTTTCTTACCTAACATGCAGGGCTTCTGCTGCTAAAACTCTTAAGTGCTTCTTTTTGGTAATAGAAAAGTGGGCTTTACAAGTGTCTCTATGCAGTCATCTGTGCATTCCCTACTAAGCAGAAGTTTAGCACAAGAGGTTAGTGGGAATGATGTCTGGAAGAAGGTACAGAGGCAGGCACGAGGTGTGCATGTGGTGACTGGTGACTTATGCTGGTAGTGTATGTAGCACTTCGCAGGGGATGTGGTACTTCGCAGAGAACTATTGGTGATAAGAAAAATTTGGGAAGTCTGGAAGCTATGATGTCTGAGTTGCAACTGCACAACTCCTGATACTGGGAGGGAAAAAAACTGCAGGTTTAAACATACTTCTGTGATGAGTGTCTAGTCTCAAAGTGAGGGAAGGTTATGTGAAAATAGTATGCAATTCAGTCTTTATACTTAAAGGGAAGGATGTGTTTTGTTTTTTCTTCTCTTTAGACGTGCTGCAACTTTAATGTGTGTTTTCTGGAGGCTTCATTAGCATGGAAGCAGGGGTTCTGACTACATGGTCTCAATTTCCTTGCTTCAGGAATCCCAGAAGAAAATCTGATTTAAGTATCTGTAGAGAATTATGCCTTGGGATTACTGATGAGTAGAAGTGCCAGCTGAAAAACATGGCAGTCTGAACAAAATGGAAAGGATAAGAGCTGGAAAGTGTAAACTTCCAAACTGAAAACACATAAATTACACCTGGGAGGAGCTGGGGAAACATGAATGAATACCACGTCCTCTGAACTGTTCAAAATGAATAGTCTGAAGTAAATCAGAACTGGGAATTTGAAGCTTTTCTCCTTAGTTTGTCCTCTGGTTTGTAGAGAGCAGAAGTGAACTTTTAACTTCAGGGATGGGAATATTTACTTGTTTGTAACTTGAACGTGTATTTTTGGGAAGCTTTGCTCACCAGTATTTACAGCTACTTAATATTACCTTTCTGAATTTCCCTTTGTGAGCAGTTTGCCTCCCTTACATCTGCTAAGGTTGTCTAAGTAAAAGGAATGAATCTTTGATTCCACATCACCTGAAATACATCCAAAATGGATAGCAGCCTCATTAAGCTGGTATCTGGTTAAAGCCTTCTACAGAAACCTGTAATGAGCTTAAATCTTGTTATTGTACCTGGATTTCCAGCATGTTTATGTGCAAAATCTTCAGCTGAATTGATCTCGTGTAGCTTGCTGTGTGTGACTGCATGGCATGAAAATAGACACAAGGATGGTTCATGAGATGGTTGGAGATTCATGATCCTTGAGGTCCCTTCCAACCCTGGCCATTCTGTGATGGTGCCTATGGTCAGTGAGACTTCCCGCTGGGAGAGGCAGTCTGTTCATCCCTTTGGGAAAGGGGAAGGATGCACTAATTCTGTTTCATAAAACACTCATCTAACATTTTTGGAAGAAAGGTAATACAGAATATCTCTTTAGTATCTTTAGGAAGTGTTAAATAGCACCAAACTGGATATTATGATGCCATGTTACTGTCAAAAAACTGTGGTGTCTGGCAGACCAGTTTAAGACCTGAGTTTTTAGGCTAGACTTGTTTGCTTTTAGTCTTCTTATTTGTCATCTTATGGAATGAGTTGTAAAGTGTCAGGCCAGGAAGCAATGATGGTGATTCAATGTGTTTTGGGATTCTTTTGGCTGAGATAGGTGGATCAGCTTGAGACTGAACTGTTATCTCTGGGAAGCTTTTGCTAACAGCAACTTCATGTGGAAACCATGGAGAGATTGAGCAGCAGCGGCATCTGAGAACCTAGTGATTTAGTA